TTTAAAAATGTGAGTTGTTTAAACGCCACAAAAGAACTCAAATCTTCAAGAAACATAAACAGATCGACGCAAAAACAAAAAACTTATTAAAATGATATATACAGTGGTGGCCATATAATTAGAAAAACTCCTTATTACTACCTTAATAAAGAAAGTATAACTTCATCGTACGAATGTTAATAAAAATGTCAAGGACCGTTGGTAGTGTTTCTAATTATACGACCATCACTGTATATAGAGTCTGTGCGGAAAAAGAATGGGATTTAGATTGGAGGGGGCTGTAGTGCTTTTCTACCGTATTTGTAAGATTTTACCCCTTTTAGACATGATTAAATACAAAAAACCACAAGAAATCACAACAACAAACAAATCCGTATCAATACAAAACTTTGACGTTTTACAGATAGCTGGGTTTGATTGCCAAATAAAAAAGTGATGTATAAGCGATTTTGTCTTTCCTCTGTTGATATGATTAGGAAGCATTAGCACTTATGTTAGTGCTTCATAAGCATATGGCTGATTAATTTTACACTACGCATAAAAAGTATGACTGTATTAGAATACTGGTTATATATACACATTACGTAGATATTTTCGTGTAGGTATTTATACCAGACGGCTGGCGCGACTGCTCAAAGCGGGGCGGGCCCTTTGATGTGTCGATGTGGCTAGGTAGTAGGTACCTACGAGTACCCAGTTACATTCTATATGTAACCCTTTCTATTAGGTGAAATGTCTTCGTTACCTATGTAATGTTATGGCGAATGTTCATCTATTAGGGTTCCGTAACTAAAGGACAACGGAACCCTTTTATTGAGCTGTATGTCCGTCAGTAGGAGAGAGAAATTTTCAGAGATAATGTATTTCTATAGCCGCTAATGTTTAATAAAATAATATGAAAATTGCCTAAAAACGTAATTTTCCGATGTTTTTCTTTTTTCTATCAACCTAAGTGATTCGATACCGGTGTTACCTGTTGTACAATGGTTTTTGAATAAATATAATGAGTAGGAAGTGTATTAACGTCTATTTTTTTAAGAACATGAAAACTAATCGTCGTGCTTCACCAATTAAACAGTTAAAATAAGAAATTATCAGAAAAACTTTTAAAGATTTTATAATATCAAAGGTTATGGCTACTATTTCAACTTTCTATACCATATAGTGTATATTTATTCTTAACTTCTTTATTTCAATATGATTACACTGGTGTCGATTCAGGCATGATTGTGTAAACCTAAACTTAAATTTGGCAACAGTCTATCTTTGTCATTTTCTATACAGAATGAAAAGGTCTGATCTCTGATCTTAAATTAAGTTTAGAGAATCATGCCAGAATCGGCACCACTGTCTCAGCTTCATTCGATACAATATTAACCAAATAAAAGACAACACGTACATTGTGTATGTGTAATACAATATACATGGTGGGAAAGTTAATGTCATCTTTCCCGCAGACAATAAGTAATTAACAACGAATATTATAGAACCAATAGGCTCCGTATCACGCACACACGACCCTCGACGCACAGAACAGTAGATACATTTGCCAAACCGCCGCCGAGCCGCCATAACTCACGCGACATAAATAAATATTCAACACATAGCCATACATCTCACTAATTTAGTGCTGCGGAACCCCATAATAACCATTTATCCCGGACCCCGCGAATAAAATATCCTGCGACATTTTTCTTCGCCTTATCTTGAGAGAGCAGACGGTTTTTTGTTTCTGTCACGCTTGTGTATCTCCACGTATCGCCGTCTCGCTCTGCTGGCATTTATCACGTGGCATCTACGCTAGGGCTGCCTCAATCCACAAGTGTTCAAATATATAGAAATTTTAGTCTGTCTGTGAGTTCTTATGCCTAAGCAGTTGAATTTATTGAATGAAATAAATTAAATTGAATTATGTTCAATTTTGCTTGGTTTTTGCTTATTTTGAAGATTTAGAAAAGTTTATGATATAGTAAACTAAAAATATAGCGGGTGTGGTATGTCATTATCCGCTACACCTGCAACTATCTTAGCATTTGAATTTCACTTTTAAGATAGGAAGAACGAAGCGGATTTTACGTTTGAATTACTGGTACGTTTATATGGGGAAGTAACTGCCACCTTACAGAAATATAACAGGTTTTGGCGATGTTTTTGTTTTTTACCAAGGTTCAAAAAGGAAAAGTTGATTAGATTTAGGTCAGCAATGTGAGGAGAGCTGGAGTGGCACATTTTCCTGTTACATCAACTGTTCAAACTTAACATCACATGGGATGAGAAGATTTGCTACGCCTTGTATAAAAAAAAATAAATATAAATTTTGTTGTCAAAAATAATTATCAAAATCAAAAATAATTACTAAAAATCTATGATATCTAGTTTTAGGTATATTACTGTTTTTAAAGTGCTCGTACAACTTTTCCATGACAATTTTGAATTGTAAGTCGATACTGTTTTTTTCGAAGTATAAGTTAACGAAACATTTCTTCGAAAGTTCTATCGATGAAAACTACCACCACCTTACAGAAGAACACAGTAACAGAACACTACCTTTTAAGGGTGATGTATTTCTGTCGGTGATATTTTTTGTATCGCAAGCGTCTATATCTATAGGCTACCAGGCTGGCCATACGCTTGTTTTAACTATTTATTACTATTTATTTTGTTATAAATCAATGGAAAAAAATCCACGTGGACCAGGCAGCAGACGGGACTCGAACCCGCACCCTTCGTTATCCGGGCGAATGCACTGACAAATTATGCTACAATGCGAAGAGATGGCGCTGCCTTGCAGCTTAAGAGAGGCTAGATAGATTCGACATGGCCGTCAGGGCCGCGGTAGCATAATTGGTCAGAGGTCAGGTGCGGGTTTGTGTCCCGTTTGCTGCCTGGTCCTCATGCAATTTTTTCTAGTTATATTTTTTATAAATCGAGCAGTTACATGCTTAAAATACCTTATACATTATACCTTATTAGTCTTACATACTTAGTATTATTATGTATATGTGTAAATATTACATTTTATTCCTTTTTTAAGATTATATAACGATTACATACGGATGGATTGTTTGATGATCGCTTGTTAGGGATAGAAGTACCAATGATAAGTCACCTATTGTTAATCTAGTTAAGGAAAACCTGTCATTGGCCATACTTTTAGAAATGTATCTACTGTAAATTTTGTATCGGAAAAACGCTGTTGGTTTTCTTAGAAAATAAATAAATAAAACAATAAAAATTATAACTTTAATTAAATGGTCTGAGTCAAAACTCGAAGGCCCTGGCAACCCTAACTGGCTCGCCTCCCTCTCCTACGTTTTATTTAGTTTCGCGTCTTAATGGATTTATTCAGGCACGGCCTTTGACCTTGCGGGTTTGTCTCCGCAGGACAAAGGACTGTACTGTGACCGACTCTCAACATTAGATGGTGACCTCTAGTTGATTCCTACTTGAGTGTATTCTAAATTTGAATAGTACAATCTCACGAAAAAGAAAGTTGTGTGGTTTTAAGAAATTCCTATGCGAGTGAAACTTTCAAGTGTTTTTCATCGCTTCACTTTTTTTCTGGCTGATAAAAAGTGAAAAATAAAAAAGTTTACACCAGGGCTTGTTCAAACCTAAATCCATGTCAAGTACATTCGGAGCGTTTTATTTAGGTTTGGCTCTACCTTCACCTTAAAAAAACTGGTTGTCCTGAAAAGCCAAATCAAGTTGGTTTTGAATCAATTAAATGGTTTTTAAAGGGTTTCATTTCGCTCTTACTGACGGCTTACGGCTGAAATAAATAAACAATTACAAAATGAATAATTTGACTCACTAGACGCTAGCAAACGTGTCAATAAATGCATCAATCTCTGAGCATTAACAAGTTGTGACTTGATTAGTTCAAACAAAATAAACTTATTTGTTTTATTTATTTATTTTCGAAACCGGTTTCAAGCCCCGGTTTACACCTTTTTTATGACTTCTTTTATTCACGTCAACCATAGGCCCTGCACGAATATCAGCGCCGCAGCGGCCTTAGTGTCGTTGTGGCATTGTGCTGAGGCAGGGACCTAGTTGACCTTATTCTGTGCTTTTATTTATGCTTTTATTTCTATTTTTCAATGTTACTGGTCAATAAATTATTTCTTTCTTTCTTTATTTAGAAACCTCACTTTATATTTGAGTGTGTTATTAAAGAAATAACAATATTCAGTGGTATTTTCTCAAACAAGTGTTAAATCGATTACGGATTAATTTGTTTCAAAGCAAAATGAAATGGCTATTGGGGAACATTATTTATACAGTACAGTACCCTTAGCACGAACCAATATCGAATTCGAATAGTTTCCGAGTGCCAAAATGTCATTGTCAAAATTTGTATGGAAACTTGAACAGCAGTGCCGCAAAGTACGTAACGAGAACTAAAAATGAGTATACATTTGACAATGACATCATGTGTCAAAACAGTTGCATTGCTTTAGGCGTGTTTCATTCGGTCCGTACAATGACAGCAATTATACATATTAGTATCTATGCCTACATAGAACTGTGCAAAACGAAACATGTGCTCATCGCACAGTAAAATCCTCGTTGATCTAAATAGTCTGTGCCTCGTTGTAATAGAACAAATTGGCCGTGTTGAATAAACTCATAGGAGTTTAAATAATCGTACATAAATATCATTCAAATACATTAATTAGGTCCATACATAAAATGAATCATAAAAATGATTAAGACATGATCATCGACAGATGTATTGTTACTAGATTTTAGTAACATTAAATAACTTGACATTTGACGTGTTCCGAGATCGAATTCATCTATTCGAATTCGATATTAATTCGTGCTAAGGGTACCGGTTAGTTGGTGTAACATTTCATTGTGCGAAAAGAAACTCCTGCAATGACACGTAGGATCAATATAAAAAGAAAAAAATACAGGTTAAAGTTCTGTCTCGATCAAGTAGAGCAATTGAAGGATCGTTTTGCATGAAAATATTCTAGTCTATATATTGACTTTTATGCATACAAATAAAGGTGTTGGTGTCCTATTAATTTATTCTTTTCTCCTAACCTAGTATTCAAGGGTTGTCTGGAGGAGATCACTTGTATAGAAAATCCCGCTCGTTGAAGTTCTGTGATAACAAAAAAATATTACTAGAAAAAATCTAGTAATACAAAATTTTGAAGACATCAAATCAAGCAGTTTTATTGTAAAAAGTGTTTGCAATTATTTAATACTTTTCTGCACTATACTCTTTTGTGGTGCATTCAATACCCGAAGAGTTATATTAACGGTGTATTCTTTTGATGTTTTATACTCATATCCTTTACCTTTACATTGTAATAATTTGTTAACCTTATATAATAGAGGGATCGAAATTAAAAATTCCATATCTCCAAGCGTGGCTATGTGAGAGACTTTGGGAAAAATGTTCAAAGCTATCTAATTGGATACGGAGTGGCGACCGACCGCTACAAAGGGGGTTGTTTGAGATAAAAATGAAAATTAAATCTTCCGAATGGATGGGCAGAGTAATGTTTTTGACGGTACCGAACCCCCCCCCCCCCCCCTCGACTGGTGAAAAGAGGGGGAAGCCCGCAAATCGACTATCAAAATGCCCGCCGAAAAAAGTGTTTCCCGCTCCCGCCGAGCCGCTACCGTCTGTTGTGGCCTTTTGATAACTTTTTTTTTGTTCGACGTGTCTGTTGCCAGTGTTTTAGTTATATTTACGTGGGCTTACGATACTTTTTAGAATAAACCTCAGTTTTTTAATATCTATTTTAACAGTGTTATAGTTTATTAAATTAATTTTCGATAATATGTTATTAGGTTCAAGTAACTTTTTGACGTGACAACGTCTTAAATTAGGTTGCGGCTGGGAGTCACTTATGAAAAAGTGTAACGCTCGGTAACGTTACGATGAGTCTCTCGTGTTAAGTTTAAGTTTACATGTACAATGTTTTAGTAAACAAAATATATTTCTATAGTTAAAATTTGTGCAATTCTTATTTTCATTCAATTCCTTGTTCCTATTGTGCAATTTAATTATATTCATATCAATAAATATTCTACCGAGAAAAAGACGTTGTCACGTAAAATCTTCGCCCGTAAAACCGACTTTACAGGCAACCATTTTTTTTCTTTCTTTGCTTTTGAAACTATTTTTCTTTTACATTAACAGTTCGATAAAGTATCACTTGCCTCAGCTTGTCTATGAAAATATACTCAACTTTTTAACGAATAAAAATTTTCTTTACGCGAAATTTTAAAGGCAAATTCAATGTCGAAGGTATTATGTGCAATCTACTACCTATACTCATTTCAGCTATTGCTTTTTTAAGGACTGCTTGGCGCGGTACAATAAGATCTGGAGTTTTTATCAGAACATTTTTCCTCCGACTTACCTTTCTTCATCCCAGTCATGTCTCCGCCGTTGCAGCCTATAGCCTGCGGGCCTGGACTCAAGCTATGGAGTTGGTAGGGTGGGGTCCTAGCATCGATCTGGGCGGGCCACGGCGCCCGGGGCCAGGTCGGGGCGGACCCGGGGGCCCCAAGCAGCCTCAGCCGCTCGTAAACCGGCGTGGAACATTCTGACGTGGGCTGCTGGTTGTTCGACTTCTCCTTCTGAGCTGCCAGGTTGCGGAGCACTCGGTTTATTGAGGATACCTGGTGGGGAAGAAGGTTTTTAGTAACAAATTTCTGTTGTTGCAGGGTGGAATAAAATATAAATAATCTGGATTCTACCCGCGTTTGAGTTAGATTTTGAAAAATCCCACAGGAAGCTTACATTTTCGGGATTAAAATATACTTTTAATCACGAAAATGTAAGCTTCCTTGCATTCCAGGTAAAGAACTATAATATATGTTAAAAATAGTCGGAACTCATACCGTCGTTATTGCGTGAATGAGGATTAACATACAAACCTATTCAATCATTAAAACTTTTACATTTGTACTAAGATCTGTAGAAGTGCGAATGTTATGTTATAGACACACAGTCAATCTGCTTCTAATACCAAATACCAAAATATCTTTCTTCAAATAAGATGCATAAAATAACTCTTTCGAATCGTATTTTTTTTATATTTATTGTATGAGTCGAAAATTCTGTTCAATTTAATTCTACGCAAACAAAGAAACGATTTATTCTTCCATTACAAATGTTGGTATGGTATAAGTATTTTTAGCGAAAACCATGAAATCCCTATTAAGCCCTTGATGATATAATATGATATCCCACGTTTGCCGTGAAGGGCACTCGAGTCCCTGATGAGATCGGAAGGGCGTGTTCCAAGGCGACTAATAACACGGGTCTACCTTGCATCGCAGAACTTTTAATGTCATAATATTATTAAGGATATCAGCGGATGGCATCATCTTTATTTCGCAGAAAATCATTTGGCATTTACTACTCATTTAGCATTCAAACGCATAATTTTGTAAGTTAGAATCATCTTTAAGCATAATTTTAATATACACAATAATTAAAAAGCAGAACCATTATATCGCAGAAAGTTCACAGTCAGAATCGTCTTTTGAATTTTGCCAAAGGTGATGTCATAATAAAACTCTGCCATCTCAAAAAAGTATGCCATGTCATTGTGAATTCAGACACATTACGCCAAACAACAACTGTATAAAAAAAATATGCCTTTGAATAATCGCTTACAGAAGGTTATGTCAAGTGCGATATGCCAAATGAATTTCGGAGCAGCAAGATTCTGCTAGATAGAATGAACCCTAATAAAACACGTGCGTTCCCAACGACAGGGAGGAATGTATTGACTTTCTTATTTTACATACGTTATAGCAACATTTAGATGCAGCGCAATCAATACCCCGTCTCTATTGTTACATACTAATAATTTGTGTTTTTTATATACATGTAATAAAAGTTTGACTATTTTATGTGGGTGACATAGTGATAATAAATCATATTTTTTTAACATAACTGAACACAATATAAATGAAAGGAAATGTCACAAAAAGAAGGCTTATCTTATTATTTCCCGTAAGTTCGAAAAATACAAGAATTGGTATTTATTATATTCTATTTTCGACTTTTCAAATGGAAACAATTGAAATTCTGTTTATTAAAGAAGTAACTAGTGTCATTTGTACAAGTAAGTATTAAATTTTGTAGTTGGAGTTGGAAACACAAATTCGACGCATCTTCATCAGTATCAAGAATATTGAAAAGAATATTTAACAGGGAGACAAACGGTCTGTCTGTCTGTCACAGATCACTATCCCTTGAACAAAAATTGGATTACACACATGAAATTTTAACAAAATGCTTGTGTATTGTGCGTTTCAATATAGCCGCTTTAACAATTAATAAAGCTTCCTTGTTTTTTCCTCTGCTCATTATTTAGCTCGATCTAGTTTTGAATATTGTACTATAGTCAGAATCTTTCGTATATGAGTCCGATTCCCACTTGGCCCGTTTATAAAGATTATGAAATAAAGTTAGTAATTCGCAATTTGGAGTATAACTTTTGATTGGTCAACAAATTCCACCAACGGACATATGCTAAAGAAAAGACACGATGAGACGGATTTATTATTATGTAATACTTAAACAGCCAGGCGGTGCAGACAAGACCCAAGAAAAAAATAACATGACTTGTTTTAAGAAGAGATTAAATAGATTTTCGATCTTTCCTCCTGTATCTTAAAGTGAGTACTTATTTAGTTATACTGCAGTCGAATAACACAATGCATGGTTACGTAATTCATCGGGTTTTATTAAAAAAGTCAGTCTATGGTGCTTTGACCTTACATCGTTGATACCATAGATAAAAATAACGTACTGAGCAATAGAGTGAAAGTGATGATGATGAAAATAACTTATTTGAACTAATAGCCGCAGTATCATTTTATCTCTCTCACACCTTTGCAGCTGGATGGGAACGCTTGTTACCGAATTTCTACCCAGTGTGGACTTAACCTATTTAGAAGCATACACACTCTTTTTCATTCACAACTCCTTTCATCAGTTAAGATATCATTAATATGAGTATGCATGGTAACGCAGCAATAACTGATGGGCCACCCATACGAAGGAACTTTTTTAAAAAGCCAAGATGTCCGGCACACCAACTGTCACGAGCCATATGACAGGACGTACAGCGTAACTTAGACGTAGGGCAGGAAAGCCGTAAGACGATAGATGGTAACGCGATACTCGGCCTCTCGGTGGTCCGTGCCGTGTCTTGACTGGCGTCTCACCGAATGCCCGATGGACCGAAAAAGCGCGCCGAGAGTAAACGTGTGCCTTTTAGAAACAAAACTTTTTGTCTATGACTCGACCATCGATGCTCTATGATTTCGATTCGTAAGGAGTATCGATGACTCTTGCGGCTAATGAGGCGCAAAAAAAGACAAATGACTTTTTAAAAGACGATGTAAGTTTTAATGGTGTTTTCATAGATCTCAATTGTTTTCTGATGGATTTGTTTCAAAGTAAAATTGCTTTTTTATTCAATTTTAATTACTTTGCGATTTATTATACCTATTGATGGAAATGAATGGTTATTTCCCAACAGCACAGCAACAGAGTCGTTCGATCATAAAATTTTAACAAGAAATACAATTAAAAGTCAGAAGACGTTGGCGTTTACCAATGAAGAATATAAAACTGTAAAAGGGTTGATTTGAAAATATATTTCGAATGAAATGGAAATTTTTAACAAGCCCTTAGTCAAACATCGAGCTAAAAGCGGAGTCAATGATTCGCGCCCATTAAATGTTTGCATAGAATAATAATTATTTATTTATTCTCAAAATGTTTGAATTTATATTCGAAATTGTTTGATTAGATCCAGAAATGATGAGTTCTTCCACGTGAATTTTTAACAGTATTTTGCGATTTATGTTTCTATATACTTATCTAGTTTTAAAAGAGTTTCATAAAAATCCATAAAAACGATTGCAGTCAAAAAGTATTTAGCGATGTGTCATTTTTATTACCGTTTGTTTGATGCAAACATAATATGTAACAATTATTTAATCTTTAATCTATGCGTGAAACGGATCATGTAATCCACTATGGACCTAACCATCATCCGTTTCAACTGTTTCCTTCTTCGTGTAGTTAGTTAGTTGATAGCGATGGCGAAATTTTGTACAATAAATTGGCCAAATAATTGGAAGAGGAAAAATGAGGAATGGAATACACACAAAAAAACTGTTTATTTTTTAAAGTATGAAACGTAGACGCATGTGGAATATGGATGAAAGGAAGATAATATTGGTAACGATTATATTATTAACTGTATATATCCAACTGACAGAAATGAATATTTTTTGATATATATTCATATTATGTGGATTTTTCCCTTCAAATTTATCAAATTCAATGAAGAGAAACTACTCAGAATAATCATAAAATATGTATTTATTTATTACAAACATTAAAATTATTAGCTGTCAATCTATTCTTCATCATTAACAATCGCCTTTGACGTAGTAAGCCAAGTCAATATTTTTTGAATTCTTGAGGAATATATTAAGTTATTTTTTATATGTAATTAATTTTCTCCACATTTAGAAACATATTTTATGCTTTTGCCACTGATATTATTGGGTTAACAAATACTTTCCGAAGCAAAACCGGGGTTTTCACTAAGCCATCTATAAACTCAGAACATACCAGGTACACTTTATGAATTGAGCTGTATTTAAAACTTCCATATTGTGGGAATATATTTTTCTTGTATAATGAATTGCAAGTTTTTTTGAATCTTTGAAATGTCTGCTTTAAATTAAGTATGTCTTCTGACGTTTTTGATGACGGGTTTGACGAAAAATACTCTAGTTTTTGCTGTTGATATCAGATTATTAAACTCATTGGTAACGTAAATTCTGTCCTTTCTCCTGATGAGTATCTACTGTAAAAACGAACGCCCACGCACAGGACAGTAATGATGTTTATCTTTCCGAAATGACCCATTGCAATAAGGGTGAACAAAATCTTACCAATGTGTTAATTTGGTTTTGACTCCCACACGCATCACTAAAAACTTGTAATTATCTATAAGAGGAATTCGTATTCTATATTGCTTTCCATGTTTCCGCATATACGCTTATTTCAACACAAATGCTCTGTTTTAATATAATTTCCATTTCATAATATATCAGACAAACGGAACTTCATTACTATGGAAGAACGCGTGTTAGTTGGAAGAAAAAAAAATACCGGACTTGTTCCCTTCTTCCAACTAACAAAATTTTCGATCACATGAAACTATAGTGATTATGAAAGTGTAGGCATATAAAATTGAAGTGATTTATTCCTTTCTTCTGACACACACCGTGCGACTATCTTAATAGTACACAACGAGATGTAAAACTAAATTTTACAATAGGAAAAATGGTGCTGATTCCCTTCTTTAAATTGGTAGTTCCATCAATAGTCACACGCAAAACAGTTAATTTATTTATCTCCATAGCATTGACTTGTATGCTCTTTCTTTATTATGTTTTCGAAAATTACTGTATCTGATAAGAACTCCAACTATAAGCCAAATTCAAATTTAATTTAATATATATTCCATTTAACTTAGTGTTTTAATGCATTTTTGTTTTAATTTTTAGTATAGTTTAAGTTTCTTGAATGTGAAATGGTTATTTATGATATTGGTGTGGTGAGTTGGTTGTTACAG